AATTGCAAGAGTCCGAGGCCGACCTACCAAGAAAAGGCAAAAGGGAGTTCTCCGCACCAACAGAGGAGCTCGAGCTTGTTCCTTTGCTTAGCCTTAAGAGACAAGTAAGCATAGGAACCAAGCTGGGGGCCACTAATAGGGAAGAGCTGATCAACTTCCTCAGGTCCAACTCGGACGTCTTTGCGTGGTCTCACGAGGACATGCCCAGCATTGACCCAAAGATCATGGTGCATCGCCTCAACATAGACCCATCATTCCGACCTGTAAAACATAAAAGAAGACCTGCAAATAAGGAAATGAGTGATGTAATTGTTGATGAAGTTAACAAACTATTAAAAGCTGAATATATAAGAGAAATTCTGTATCCCGAGTGGCTCTCTAATGTTGTATTAGTTAAAAAATCCAACGGGAAGTGGAGAATGTGCGTAGATTTTACAAACTTAAATAAGGCATGCCCAAAGGACTGCTTCCCCCTGCCGAGGATCGACCAGCTCGTGGATGCAACGGTTGGGCACGAGCTGCTCACCTTCATGGATGCCTACTTCGGATACAACCAAATCAAAATGCATGTGTCAGACCAAGATCATACCGCGTTCATAACAGACAAGGTCTGTACTGCTACAAGGTAATGCCTTTTGGCTTGAAGAATGCGGGTGCGACCTACCAAAGGATGGTGAACAAAATGTTCGCCAAGCAGAGCAGTCGAAATATGGAAGTATATGTGGACGATATGCTTGTCAAGAGCAAGCAGTCAAAGTCGCATCTTTCCGATCTGACCGAAGCTTTTGGAGTGCTGCGAAAGTACCAAATGAAGCTTAATCCGACCAAGTGCGCCTTTGGGGTCTCCTCGGGGAATTTCCTTGGTTTTATGGTAAACAACCATGGGATTGAAGCTAACCCAGAGAAGATAAAGGCCGTGCTAGAGATGGAAGCACCCAAAACCCTGAAACAACTTCAGTGCCTCAATGGAAGGATTGCAGCTTTGAACAGGTTTGTCTCAAGGTCAACAGATAAATGCCTTCCTTTCTTCAAAGTCTTGAGAAAGAAGGGGCCTTTCGAATGGACGACAGAGTGCGAGCAAGCATTGGAACAATTGAAAAACTATCTCTGNTGAGAAAGAAGGGGCCTTTCGAATGGACGACAGAGTGCGAGCAAGCATTGGAACAATTGAAAAACTATCTCTGCTCGGCACCTCTACTTGCCAAGCCATTGCCAGGAGACAAGCTCCACTTGTACCTGGCAGTGTCCGACAACGCCGTCAGCTCGGCCCTAATCAAGCAGGAGGGGGTACGCCAATGTCCCATTTATTATACAAGTAAAGCCATGACCGAGGCAGAGACTAGGTACCCCCAAATGGAAAAACTGGCCCTCGCCTTAGTCACTGCGGCACGGAGACTTAGGCCGTACTTCCAAGCGCATACCGTCGTAGTACTTACCAACTTGCCCCTGAAGAACATCTTCCATAAGCCAGAAACATTAGGACGCCTGATGAAGTAGGCAATGGAGTTGAGTGAATACGACATCCAATTCGAACACCGAACTGCGTTAAAAGGGCAAGCAGTGGCAGACTTCATCGCGGAGCTCACCCCATCATCTCAGTCGGCCGAGTCCGACCTCCCGTGGACGATCTACGTTGATGGATCTTCCAATGAGAGGGGGTGCGGAGCATGAATCCTCTTGCTCGCACCAGGAGGCGAGCGATTCAAGTATGCTCTGCGGTTCAACTTTCGGACTTCAAATAATGAGGTTGAATACGAAGCACTTCTGGCAGGCCTACGCGTTGCTAAAGGACTGGGAGCCATCGACATCAAGGTCTTTAGTGACTCCCAGTTGGTCGTAAATCAGATTAAGGAGAAGTATCAAACAAAAGACCCCCGAATGGAAAAATATCTAAGCAAAGTCAGATCACACCTCGCCCATTTCGAGACTTACGAGGTGAATCAAGTTCCAAGATCAGAAAATTCCAATGCAGATGCTTTAGCTAAAGTGGCATCAGCATATGAAACCGACCTGACCAGATCAGTCCCGGTCGAGATCTTGAACAATCCTTCAATCTTGGAGCCAGATGTGATGGAGGTTGACACTCCAGCACCCTCATGGATGGACCCAATCGTGGAGGTCATCAAAGGAAATCTGTCGCAAGACTCGAAGGAGCAGAAGAAGATGGCGCGAAAAGCAGCTCGGTTCATACTCCAAGGTGGAGCATTGTACTGACGTGGCTTCTCTCTGCCTCTGCTTAAGTGTGTAACTCCTGAAGAAGGTCTTTACATCCTTAGGGAAATCCATGAAGGAGTATGTGGAACCACTCTGGCGCCAAGTCGTTGTTAGGGTTGACTTTTTACTGCAGAAACATGTGTCGGTAGCCCTGTTTGACCACGTTTTTGATCCATTTCCCATTATTATTTGCCAAAAAGGACCACATATTCTCCAAGTAGAACATACATAGATTATTTCTGCATAAAAGTCAAACTATGGTATTTTAGGAAAAATATGAGATAAATACGGTCAAAGTTGGAAGAAAATAACAGAATTCTGTTTTTTTGCAGAATTGCGCCTGACGCATTTTGGGAGGGCAATTTGTCAAAACGCACGTTTTGATTAATGAAGGGCAAGTAGGACATTTGCCACATGTTCAAAACCGTGAGTCCAAGTCCAAGTGAGGTGGTTAGGTGAATCTCAACCCTTTTCCACCTAAAATGGAGGGGAGTTTCAACCAACCTATGGTGCTATAAAAGGAA